GTATGATAATCTATGTAACTGTATTTGTGTGTACCTGAATAAACTTACTTACTTACTTACATACGAAAGGAATGATTTTCTACAGTTACCCCCAGTAACACATTTTCTCTGATGTTGGACTTGAGAAAATGTTATTCTTGCCGTCACTCATAAAAGTCTTGCTCCCACATCTCATACTTATGTTTATTTACTCTACTCTGGGGTGTATTTATCATCTTTATATGTTATGTATCATGTCTATTATATAATTTTGAAAAAAAAATATCATAGCTGGTTTAATGAAAATGTGTATATTAACGTATTATACGACATTTAATGAGACTCTGTGATTATTATTATTATTAATATTATTACTTCTAATATGGCGTCACTTGTGCAAGTCGTCTGCTACCATATCTCTCATTTATGTTTATTTATTCTACTGTGGGGTGTATTTATCATCTTTATATGTTATGCATCGTGTTTATTATATAATTTTGAAAAAATATCATAGATGGATTAATGAAAATATGTATATTAACGTAATATATGACATTTAATGAGACTCGGTGGTTATTATCATTACTAATGTGACGTCTCGAGACATTAGACACTCTTACTGACTTTAATGTGTACCTACACGTCTGCACAGTATGTAAGTTATTTAGGTACAGGTATACATAAGTATAATTATTAGATTATATATAAAATATGAAATAACTTTTAAAAACACTTGAAGTTTTGGGGTTTCCAGACATAATGGAGAGACTTAGTGCTTACGGATCTCACAGGGAATGTAAACAAACCGGGTGGGGCATGGTGACTGTATTAGAAAGTCAGGTGGGGGGAGCCATATAGAGTGTTTTGGTCATAATTTGAAATGACTGTATTAGCAGAACGCCGTAAAGCAAAACGCCGTAAAGCGGGGCCCTACTGTATGTGAACAGTATTTAGATAAGGGTAGGGAAGTTTTGATTGTATTTATGGATTTAGAAAAGGCATATGATAGTGGATAGGGGAGCAATGTGGCAGATGTTGCAAGTGTATGGAATAGGTGGTAAGTTATTAAATGCTGTAAAGAGTTTTTATGAGGATAGTGATGCTCAAGTTAGGGTGTGTAGAAGAGAGGGAGACTACTTCCCAGTAAAAGTAGGTCTTAGACAGGGATGTGTAATGTCATCGTGGTTGCTTAACCCTTTGACTGTCGCGGCCGTATATATATGTCTTACGAGGTACCGTGTTTGACGTATATATACTCATAAATTCTAGCGGCTTCAAATCAAGGAGGAGAAAGCTGGTAGGCCCACATGTGAGAGAATGGGTCTGTGTGGTCAGTGTGCACCATATAAAAAAAATCCTGGAGCACGCAGTGCATAATGAGAAAAAAAAAACTCAGAGCGTTTTTTTTTTAATTGAAATGCCGACTTTGTGGTCTATTTTCGTATAGTATTTATGGTTGTCTTCTCGTTTTCTTGGTCTCATTTGATAGAATGGAAAACATATTATAGAAATAGAGGTGATTTTGATTGATTTTACTATAAAAAGAACCTAGAAATGGAGCTCAAAGTAGGGGAAATGTTTGATTTTTGCCAATGTTCAAAAGTAAACAAATGATGCCATTGTCCAATAAATGTCCAACTAGCCATTCTAATATGCAGTCATGAATGGGTTGATGTTATTTATACAATTATTACAGTATTGCAGTAGTCTGCATAATAGTAAGTCTTCTATTTTTTGTTTGAATAAAAATTCAAAATAGAAAGCAAGAGTAATATCAGAGGGGCCTAGAGACATGACTGATGAACAAAAAAAAATGTTATTTTAGAGCCAGGAATGTCTGCATTGTTCATTCTGGACCTTATTTTGAAATTGTCATGTTTTTTAGTTTTCGTGAAATTGGCCAAATTGCAAATTTCTGACCACATTATTAGGTAGTTGAAATCGGTAAATGGGCAGTTTCTTGTACTCAATCGATTGAAAAAATGGAGTTCTAAAGAAATAGCTATGAGTTTTATGCGATTGGAACAACGGAATTAGCAGAAAATAGGGCTCAAAGTGGGCAAAATTGCTGATTTGTAAACAGCGCAGAGGTCGCTAACTTTGCGAGAGCATAATTCCATCAGTTTTCCATCAAATTTCGTTTTTTTGGTGTCATTACAATCGGGAAAAGATTCTCTTATCATTTCTTAAAAGAAAAAATTTTTTTTTTTTTTTTTAGATTTTGCGACACCAGGAGACACCTCAGGATTGGGGGTTGCGACAGTCAAGGGGTTAATGTATTTATAGATGGGGTTGTAACAGAAGTAAATGCTAGGTTGTTGGGGTGAGGGTGGAATTAAATTATGGGGAATCAAATACAAAATGCGAGTTGACACAATTATTTTTTGCTGATGGTATTGTGCTTTTGGGAGATGATAAAAAAAAACATTGCAAAGGTTAGGGGATGAGTTTGGGAGGGTGTGTAAAGGTAGAAAGTTGAAAGTGAACATTGATGGAGGAGTAAGATAATGAGGGTATCAAACAGTTTAGATAAAGAAAAATTGTATATCACATTGGAGTGAGGGAGTATGGAAGAAGTGAATGTTTTCACATATTTGGGAGTTGACTTGTCAGTTGATGAGTTTATGAAGGATGAGGTTAACCATAGAACTGATGAAGGAGAAAAGGTGAGTGGTATGTTGAGGTATCTGTGGAGACAAAAAACGTTATTCATGGAGGCAAAGAAGGGAATGTACGAGAGTGTACTGGTACCAACACTCTTGTATAGGTGTGAAGCATGGGTTGTAAATGCTGCAGCAAGGATGAGGTTGGAGGCAGTGGAGATGTCATGTCTAAGGGCAATGTGTGGTGTAAATATTAAGCAGAGAATTAGTGGTGTGGAAATTGGGAGGAGGTGTGGGGTTATTATAAGTATTAGTAAGAGGGCTGAAGAGGGGTTGTTGAGGTGGTTTGGTCATTTAGAGAGAAATGGCTGATGTACATGTATTAAAAAAAAAAATGTATGTGTAGTGTGACCTAAGTGTAAGTAGAAGTAGCAAGACATACCTGAAACCCTGCATGTTTATGAGACAGAAAAAGACACCAACAATCCTACCATCATGTAAAGCAATTACAGGTTTCTGTTTATCACTCCCTTGGCAGGATGGTTGTACCTCCCTGGGTGGTTGCTATCTATCAGCCTACCACCTAGATCAGTGGTTCCCAACCTTTTCTTACTCCCGCACCCCTAAAAATTTTTTTGCTCTAACCTCGCACCCACTACAATTTAAACTTTGTTCAAGGATAAAGGATGTGGAATCATACTAAATTTTATTGAAAGAAGATATTTATTTCACTTTCTAATATAATATGTGAACAAAAATCAGACTTACAGCAAAGAAACATATCACAGAATAATGTTTGAATACACCTTACAAAAATAATAACTCTTGCTTGAAATATGTACAAAAAAGTAAAATAAAGAACTAGCTTTCAAACCTTAAGAAAGAATTTTATTTTTTTCAATATGTAAAAAAGCAAACATATGGATAAGAAAGGATGTCTCCAATTAATATTTGAAGATAATGGTAATTTAAAGATAATGGTAATTTTACTTTGATTATTGAATATTAACCCTTTGACTGTCGCGGCCGTATATATACGTCTTACGAGGTACCGTGTTTGACCTATATACTGTATACTCATAAATTATAGTGGCTTCAAATCAAGGAGGAGAAAGCTGGTAGGCCCACATGTGAGAGAATGGGTCTGTGTGGTCAGTGTGCACCACATAAAAAAAATCCTGGAGTACGCAGTGCATAATGAGAATAAAAAACTCTGACTTTTTTTTTTTTTAATTAAAATGCCGAATTTGTGGTCTATTTTCATATAGAATTTATGGTTGTATTCTCGTTTTCTTGATCTCATTTGATAGAATGGAAAACATATTATAGAAAAAGATTTGATTTTGATTGATTTTACTATAAAAAGAACCTGGAAATGGAGCTCAAAGTTGGGGAAATGTTTGATTTTTGCCGATGTTCAAAAGTAAACAAATGATGTCATTGTCCAATAAATGTCTAACTAGCCATTCTAATATGCAGTCATGAATGGGTTAATGTTATTTATACAATTATTACGGTATTGCAGTAGTCTGCATAATAGTAAATCTCCTATTTTTTGTTTGAATAAAAATTCAAAATAGAAAGCAAGAGTAATATCAGAGGGGCCTGGAGACATGACTGATGAACAAAGAAAATGTTATTTTAGAGCCAGGAATGTCTGCATTGTTCATTCTGGACCTTATTTTGAAATTGTCATATTTTTTAATTTTCGTGAAATTGGCCAAATTGCAAATTTCTGACCACGTTATTGGGTAGTTGAAATTGGTAAATGGGCAGTTTCTTGTACTCAATCGATAGAAAAAACGGAGTTCTAAAGAAATAGCTATGAGTTTGATCGACTGGAACAACGGAATTAGCCGAAAATAGGGCTCAAAGTGGGTGAAATCGCCGATTTGTAAATATCACCGAGATCATTAACTTCGCGAGAGCGTAATTCCGTCAGTTTTCCATCAAATTTCATTTTTTTGGTGTCATTACAATCGGGAAAAGATTGTCATTTCATAAGAAAAGATTTTTTTTTTTTTTTAAATTTTGTGACACCAGGAGACACCTCAGGATTGGGGGTTGCGACAGTCAAGGGGTTAATAAGCAATAAATGAATAAATTTCCTGTTATTAAGACAGACGCTTCTTGCACCCCCTGGAATGATGTCTCGGACCCCTGGTTGGGAACCCCTGACCTAGATTATTACCTATTATCTTTCATTTATAATTTTCTGAATTTTTCTCTTGTTTTTACTAACACTTTTTTTTTCAATATCTTGTAAACACAGAAATGTTCCTTTTTCACTTTTACTATTGTCATCTTAATGTGTCAGGTCATTACATATATACAGTAGCCGTTTAAATATTTTGGGAACACATATGAGAGAGCCATTATGGACAGTCATTTTTATCTTTTTTATCTCATTTGTTTCAGTGGCCAGGTGGAGGTGATATGGCCAGACGACTGGCTCTTGGAGAAGGCTTTATTGGTGAGGGTAGCCAGGACCTCACATCTCTATCCTTGGGTCAGTCTGGCACTCAAGCACACCAGCTGGTGAGTGTTACTCTCAAAATTTTACAAGAAGTGGCTATTTCAGGGGAACAAACATGCAAAGGTGTTTATAAAATGCCAAATTTATGTTCTCATTAACAGGCAGATAAGTAATCAAGAAATATAGTTAAGATTTATTTCAAGCTCTGACTTATCTCTCAGCAAGATTTAAATACTTGTATATAAATCAAGAGTACATTTGTTATGGGCAAATTTTATATCTTCAGTAATGTTTTGTTGCACAAGTGAGAATGACTAATGTTGAAATGGATGAATGATTATGCCAGAGTTATTTTGCCTGACTGATTATTATATTTATAGCTGGTGGATGTTAACAAAAGTATGAATGGGCAGTTGTGAGCTAGACTAAATTACATTTACTACAGAATATACTGTATTCCCTTAATATTCGTGAACGATTAGGCCTTGTACGTAGTAAATTTGCAGGTGAATAGTACATATATATCAGTGCAGGAGTCTGGCTCGTGGTTAATGTTGTAATGCTGTGGGTGAGTTGCCAATCCAGAACCCAGCTTACAGGTAACAGTTATTAAAATCATACACATATCTGAGTTGATGTATTTATGTATGCAGAACTTGTGGCTAGAGTGAGCCAAGTACATTGTTACAGTTTCATATGGATTAGAATGGCTTGTGTAGTACTGAAAAAATCACTAGTTGCAGTAGAGGCCTCTATTGGTGCAACATTTCATTCACAGACAGGCTTTTTCAAGTGGGGATGAGATATCAAAATTTTTGCTGATACCATTACTCAATTCTACATCAGTACTGATACCATCAAAATTAGCTAATACCCACCAATACTGATACCATCAGTATTGATAATCAGCTTTAGGTTGATACCATTACCACTACCAGGGTACCATTACACAAATAACCCACACATAGGAGAATGAAACTTACAATGATGTTTCAGTCCAGCTTGGATCATTGACTGGTCACACAGAAGCATGAAGGGAAGAGAACCAGTATATATATAAGAGAGTGGGGTTGGGAGAATGAGAGGAGGTAGTTGAATACTGTTAAAAGTAGTGGTGGCAGTGACAGTGGCGGCTATAGTGGTGGTGGTAGAAGTAGGTAGAAGTAGTGGCACTACTTACCTAGCAATAAGTGGGGACCTGGGTGTTGATTGTCATGGATCACATCCCAGGGAGTGGTAGTATACCATCGTTTGGGCTGGGCTTTGAAATGAGTTGAGGTAGGACAACAGCTCTTAGCCCATAAAATTAATTTATGTAAAAAAAAAAAAAAAAGAGACTCAGAGAGTAGTGTTAGTGAAGCAATAGTAGTAGGAGTATTGGAGGTAGTCTAAGGAGAAGAGAAAAAAAGAAAAGTAGTACCGCAGGAGAGCTAATGGTTCATGAGGGTGAGAACAAAACCACGAGGTAGAAGTCGTAGGACAGAATACACATAGGCAGAAGAAAGGAAAGGCAAAGAAAATATAGGAACAGAGAAGGAGAGGAGATAAAGATCAGGTCAAGTCATGAGTGTTCTGAAGCTTGGATCATTTGACAGTGTAATGAGAAAGGAAGGCATCTACAGAGACAAAGCCAGGACTAAGATTCATATTAGGAAAGTTGTGCATAAATGATGCTTCAACAAGATGGCATCAGAGAAGACTTGAAGAAGGGTAGACAGTTTTGGCAAAGTACCAATTAATAGGATAACTGTGGTCTCTTAACATGGCAGAAAAGAGTATTATTAGTGTCGGCAAGTCTGACACTTCTGTTGTGCTCTTTGAGTTTGTCAGAGAGTGATCAGTTTCTCCAGAGTATTGGATAGGACAGGAGGAGCAGGAAATGGAGTAGACTCTGGAAGCATCAATAGCAGTAGGAGAGGTACGAACTAGATTACTACAAAAGGTGTTAGGTTGGCGAAAAGTAAGTTTGATGTCTGAATGGAGAGAGTTGTTGAGATTTGAGAGAATGGAGATATAGGGAAGGCAAAGAACTTGAGATTTCACAGGAGTAGAGAGTTTGAAAGAGATGAAAGTTCATTTATCATGTGTGAAGGCAGGGTTTTTGAAATTGGAAGGGTAGCCAAGGCGAGAGAGTGAATTGAGAAGAGTGGAAATTTCCCAGTCAAGAAACTGAAGGTCACAAATCCGGAGAGCACAGAGAGAGAAAGAAATAAGAACACTTCTTGACAGAGGAAGCATGGCAAGAAAAGTAGTGAATGCACATGCCACCTCTGATACTACCACCATTACTTCTACCATTACTCAGCTACCTCCTCTTGTTCTCCTGGCCTTACCCTCTTCTTGTATATATACTGGCTGTCTTCCCTTTGTGCTTCTGCCACTAGTTAATGGTGCAAGTCAGACCAAAACATCATCATAAGTTCCATTCTCCCATGTGCAGGTTATTTGTGTATTGTTCCAGCCATGCTATTGTACCTTTTTTGTCTTTTGGGTACCATTCGCCAATACCCACCAGTACTTTGGTACACCACAATTTTCAGGCACACCTCTATTTTCAAGTATGTACTGCACAGGACTTGAAAAATCCCACCTGTGGATGAGACTTTGTATCAGTAAAGGACTCCAGCGCAACTTGTTTCACTTGTACTCGTTGGCCTCCCGTCTCCAATTTCAAACATACTAGCCTTACACGATGCTTGTGACTGCACAGAATGGTTTGAAGTGTCAGGTGTATCCCTAACCTTCAACTTGAGTTCTTTTCTGCTCTTTCCTGGCAGGTATTTCCCAATCCCACAATTTTGGGAAATTAGTGAGTGAGGATGAATAAAATTACTATAATGAAAAATATATGGGCAGATGTGAGTTTAAGCAAAGTATCATTTATGAAGTGATTCAGGGAAAATTAGTTAGCTGAACTTGAGTCCTAGAGGTGGGGAAATATTGTGCCTGCACTCTGAGAGGGGGATGGGGATGTTGCAGTTTAGAGGGACATTTGAGCTGTGATGTCAGCATGCTTCTGGCAAGAAAGTGATAGAATGAATGATGGTAAGTAAGTAAGCAAGTTTATTCAGGTATACACAAATACAGTTAGATGGATTATCATACATAGCAGCATATGTGTAGAGAACCTAGGATAACCCCAAAAAAGTCAGACAGAGTGACTTATTTCCATTGGGGCCCTTTTACCTTATTATAATACAGTGGACCCCCGGTTAACGATATTTTTTCACTCCAGAAGTATGTTCAGGTGCCAGTACTGACCGAATTTGTTCCCATAAGGAATATTGTGAAGTAGAATAGTCCATTTCAGACCCCCAAACATACACGTACAAACGCACTTACATAAATACACTTACATAATTGGTCGCATTCGGAGGTGATCGTTATGCGGGGGTCCACTGTATAAAGGTTATATTATTATTATTATTCTATAATGAAGATAACATCTTATTATCATACTAAAAAGACTATCTACTGTACGAGGGTCATTAAGACTATCTACAATACGAGGGTCATTACTAGGAATAGGGTAAAATTACATGTGTGTTAGCTAAAAAATTGAAAATCATTCCCCTCCCTTTCTGTAGCTACGTTCATCAGACACCTTTTGGCACTCTTCTTGAACTAGTTCATGCTATGACTGGCTTTGACATGTGCGGGCAGTCTGCTTCATTCCTTTATTGCTGTACAATAAAAGGTGTTTGAAGCCTGGCCACTGACTGTGGGTACTACAAAGTTGTGCTCTCTCCCCCTAGTACTATGATTGCTTTGGTTGCCAACCTTGACAAAATTGACAGCAAGATATTCTGGACACTGTGAGCAATTTTATAAACATGATTTAGCTTCAGTTGTTTTACTCTGTCTTCAACATTCAGCATATCCAACTGCTGTAATTCATCCTGGCCTACATGCTTCTTGGACCCAGGTCCAGGATGAATCTTACAATTTTGTTTTGGGTGATTTGCAGTCTATCTTTTGGTTTTTTTGTCAAGGCAGAGTACCATGAAGAGCAAGCGTAATCCATATGACACTGTATAAGGGCTAGACATAGGGTCCTGTGAGCCTCAGTAGGTAGACACTGTGCTTGTTTATAGAGGAACTTCAGTCTGGCATTCACTTTCTTTACTACACTGTTCCCTATCAATTCTCCTGACATGCATGGGCTCCCCATTACACTGGACATTAAAATTATTTTCCCTTCTCAGTTTATGTTTCATGCCAAAGGGAATGGCTTCAGTTTTTCCAAGGTGCAATGATAGTTCGTTGTCTACTAACCATTTGCTGCAGGACTCCAGTTCCAGTGTTAATACATTAGCTATATCTTGTGGGTCTTTACCTGACACTAACAGAGCACTGTCATCTGCATACAGTAAAAGTTTGCACTTGACACTGATAGGCACGTCATTAACATAGCATAAGAATAATAAGGGACCCAGAATACTACCTTGGGGAACTCCACATGCTATCAGCAGGGGTTCTGATTCCGTTTTGTTGATTTTGACAATTTGTCTCCTGTTGCTAAGGTAGGACTTAAATCAGTCCACAGAACCTATACCGATAGCTTGAAGTTTCTTACATAATATATTGTGGTTGACAGTATCGAATGCCTTTTGATGGTCTAAGGTTACCATACCTATGAGGTTCCCCATTGACATTTCAGTTCTCAAGTAATCCATCAGATTAATTAGGGAGGTGTCGGTTGAGTAAGATCTAAAGCCTGATTGATAGCTACGGAGAATGTTGTTGTCATTAAGGTACTTAACTACTTGACAGTATACCACCCTCTCTAGAATTTTGGATATTATACTGAGTATACTAACCGGCCTATAGTTGCTTACATCAGACCTACTATTTTTCTTGAAGATAGGAGTAACTCTGGCCTCCTTGAACCCCTCCGGTACAGTATTAGTGGTGATGGACAAATTTATTATGTGAGCAGTAGGGATTGACAGTTCAGAAGCACCATCTTTTAGGAACTTAGACGGGATGTTGTCCAGGCCACTGCTCTTAGTTGGGTTTAATCACCTTAGTTCTTTTTGAATAAAGTCATGAGATACACTTA